CCCTACACCTTTATAACTTATCTTTCTTCTAGATCTTGTTTTGTTTTGTTGTTTCTAGCCTTTTCCTTCCTTACAGAGAGAGACACATCATCCTCATTGCAACATTCCCAAGCTCTCAGAGCACAGTAGTTCAGACTTTGCAGTCAAGGGAGACAGCGATTTGCGTTCAGGCTCCACCACTTGCTAACTCTGTGAGATTAGATAAACTATTCAGCCTTTCTGACCTCTAGTTTTTGTAGGTGGACATGGATTGCTTTTATTAATAATCAAAATCAGTGGCAATCATCAAATCTATGGCAGCAGCCTAGATTTGAATGAAAATTTCTGATTTTAATGGAATGGAATATATAAGATTATTCTAACCTTGCTGCTGTTTATTTTTTCTGTAATAATTTAAAATAAATTAAAATGTTTAGTTTTTTCATCAGACCTGAAAATTTGGGGGGAATATTGGGTTGATTTTTCTATTTTTTAATTATCGCTGATAACGAGTTATAAAGTGAGAAAACATTTCTCCCAGTGTTCTCAGCAGTTTGTTGGGGGGCGGGGAGGTGGATACTGTAACTAAAATGTAGAAACTACTTAACACGTATGAACTGTGTGTTCTGTGTTTAACTGATGAAACTATTTGTGGTTTTTGTCAGAATATAAATTGAAAGTGAGAAGTACTACAAATTTATAAATTGCAGTATAGCCGATAGCAGTGAATTATGGTGAAAAGTACATTAAAGATACACTTAGCTCACTGCTTAAGAATAGACCTCAGAGTCATGTCTCTGTGGTTTGAACTGTAAGTTTTTCTCTTCCATTACCCCTGATGAATTTTTCCAAGCCTTTGGATTGTAGAAATCACTAACAAACATTTTGTGCCCTGGAAAATGTGCCCCAAATACTATCTTTATTTCAAAATCTGAATGAGTTTATCTACTCTTTGTCTCAATTGTAAGAGTATACTACATCCACTTCACTATTTTAGGTAATTTTTTTTAAAAAGAGACATATAAAGAAATTTCTTTTTACAGGAGTTGGCCCATGGATTAAGTGAACTCTTATCATATGAAGGCAATGTTGAAGAAGATTTCTATTCAACATTCCAGGTACTATGAAGGGCAAATAGCTGTCTGTCAACCATGTATTTTACATATGAAAAGGGCCATTTGTTCATAAACATCACTGTTTAAAAAAGTGAATGAGGCTGAGTGAACATGTGGGATCCCATGTCTTACACGGGATCTTAACCTGAGAAAGTAGAGATGGCGACACAGACGCATGTAGGTGAGAGCAATTAAAGAAACCAAGGGCAGGGGCTGCGAGGCAACCACCTGCGCCCACAGCTTGGTTTCTCAGCGCTTTCCAGTTTCTAAAACTAAGCCTCTCCTATAGCTTCCACACACGAAGTTAGGAGTAGAACTAATGGATAAGACCAAAACTTTCTCATTCCCATACCCTTTATAATCATTTCGCGATAGAAATCAGTGATCCACGTACCTCCAGAGGCCTGAGCCTTAGCTAGATGACTGCACACGTTGTATGAACCTCCTTAAAGTATTTAACAGGTGGGGTTAAAGCTCTGCTCATTTACCCCGTGTCTTAGAGTCTCTCTGTGTTGCTAACAGATACACCTGAGACTGGGTGATTTATAAAGTAAAGAGCTGTTTGTTTGCAAAACCAATTCTGATAGCTGGGGAGGGCAGAGGTATGACAGAACGGTGGAAGGCAGGACCTCTAACAGAGCAGAGGTGGTTGGTGTCCAGGCGGTTTCTTCTTGTGGTGGGCTCATTTCCTCTGCTATTAAACCCACCAGAACCCAGTCACAAGGGCCTCCCCAGTGACCTCATCACACCTAACCACCCCACCCTAGGACACCATGAAAGGATTACAGTTTCACTGCAGCTTTTACAACACAGTCGAGTTCCAACATATGTTGATGAATTTGGGGAGGAGGCTTCCAAACTGCAGTCTTCCATCATGCTTTCATGATTCTTCATTTTGAACATGCGTATCACAGGAGCCTAGCTTTTCTGTAGTTTATTCTAGTTTAAATGGGAGAGGGAAAAATCTTAGATTTTACAAATCTCTTCATTGAAGCCTGTTTTTATATCAGCCATCCCAATAAATATACTGTGATGACATCTCCTATCAGGTTTTTCAAGAAGAATTTGGAATAATTAAGTCCTATAATTTAAAGCCAGGTGGTGATAAAGTTCCAGTTAACAATCAAAATAGAAAAGGTAAGTTAGATGCCGTATTTGAACTAAAATGAATTAATATTTACCATTTACTTTTACTATTTAACAGATGTTAAATTGCTTTCCAGAATATGTACAACTTTATACTGACTTCCTTCTCAACAAGTCCATCTATAAGCAGTTTGCTGCATTTTATTATGGATTTCACAGTGTGTGCGCTTCAAATGCCCTAATGGTGAGTGAAACTTCAGATTAAGCCTTCATTTAGGTTTTGTAATGCTGTATTGACAAATAATTTATTAAATATTTTACTGAATAAATTTTAAAATAGAAAATGTTTTCTACTTTTTAAAAATAGAGCTAGGGACCAGCAGTTGGTGTAATGGACTCCCATGTAGTCAATCATGGTTTGAGTCCCAGACCTGGTGGCTTAAACTCATACTGGGCACAAGTGGGTACCCAAGATCCTGAGAAGAGAATAGAGGAGAGGGGATTGTGGTGTGGCCATCCCCCTGGGGGGTGATTTCTTGCTGTCTGTCTGTCCCTGTCTTTCTGGCAAGTGCACGCGCCCTATAGAAAAAATATCTCCAAAAATTTAAAAAATTGAAAATAGAGCTAGAGGGAATTGGACAGGGGTGCAGTGATAAAACACCACTCTGTGAGGATGCACCACAGGGGAAGGTGGACTCCCAGTGCACACATGCTCGTGTTCCAAAGCTTTCTGGGCTGAGAGTGGATCACAGCTAAGGACCCTGTTAGGGATCCCTCTCTGTCTATCTCTCTCTCTCTTTCTCTCTCTCTCTCATGGAGGAAATAAATTTTTTTCAAAATTTTTTGATAAAAAAATAGAGCTAGGGAACCAGCAGTTAGCGTAATGGCTATGTCACTGGACTCCCACATAGTCAACCGCGGTTCGTGTCCCGGACCTGGTGGCTTAAAACTCACGCCGGGCGCATGTGCGTGCATGCCCAAGATCCCGAGAGGAGAATGGAGGAGAAGGGATTGCGGCGTGACCATCCCCCCCGGGGGTGATTTCTCGCTTTCTGTCTCTATGTCTCTCTCTGTCTGTCTGGCGAGCACACGCACCCTATAGCGAAAACCTCTCAAAAAATATATATATAAAAAGAAAATAGAGCTAGAAATAAAAATAATTCTTCCATTTCAGCTGGAGCAGGCAAAAAGCAGCTCATTTTTTCTCCCCTTATGCTGTGTATTATATATGTTTCTTAAGGCTTTAAAAACTTTCCCCAAGTAGAGTGGGTGAAGAGATGCACTTAAGACTGTGGGACAAGAAACAGAACAGTTAACACAGCTCCAGGACAAAGGCCACCACTGCTCACTGAGTAGAGGAACCTAGTGAGAACGGCTGCCTGCTGTGTCAAGGGTCCTTCGGCAACTTCGAGTCGCCTTTTACCCGTTTCCTCTCCAGAGTCTTGGAGACTATTAGACTGGGCTTGGTTTGACTTGTCGTAGCCACGTGAATATGGTCACCTGCTATTCAGAATACCGTGTCAGAAGTGTCCTTCAGTACCCTTCCCCTCAGCACCAAGGGTACACTCCATTATGCCACTTGTGTGTCCCTCAGTGTTACTAGGAGGGGCTGGAGTAAGGTCTTCTATTTGAATTATTTTTCACACGAGGGAAGAGTGGACTTTACAGGTTCCTTGGGGGAAGATATGAGAAGTAATGATTTTTGTGATTTCAGTCAATGAAAATAATTACAAGTTCATTTTAAATAATTTTTGTTTAAGTTTATTTATATATGTCTCTGAAGAGAGAAAGAGGGGCACCCCCAGCAAGGTCTCCTTGCCATGTTCTGTCCCCCCCGGGCTCAGTCACTATGGATCACAGGCATGTGTGCACAGTTGATAGCCTGAACCTGGGGCTTCCCCATGTGGGTCCAGTGTCGCAGAGGGTTGCATTTTTGCTGTGCTACCATCTGGCCCTGGAATCATCAGTTTTAATTACCATCTTTGGTAAATAATTATTGGCAGCTGCTTCGTCCAGATGAGGTTGAAATTCTGGTGTGCGGCAGTCCTGAACTAGATATGCATGCCCTGCAGAGAAACACTCAGTACGATGGCTACGCAAAAACAGACCTGACTATAAGGTAACTTCCGGCTCTGATGATGGGGCTGTGGGAGAGCAAGCAGCAGAGGTGGTGCATTGACTCACGTAACTTAGTGACCTTCGAAGCAGTGAAGGTAGCCGAGCTGTTAGAGTCCCACGTTTTTATTTTATCTCCAGAGAGTAATGAAAGAATGTTAAACATGAAATTATGTAGTAATCTCCTTGGGAGAAAATTATATAAATAAGTTTCTTCAAAAGTATAGCGATCTTGGGACCAGCAGTTAGCGTAATGGCTATGTCGCTGGACTCCCATCGTGGTTCACGTCCTGGATCCAGTGGCTTAAAACTCACGCCAGGCGCGTGTGCGTGTGTGCCCAAGATCCCGAGAGGAGAATGGAAGAGAAGGTATTGCGGCGTGGCCATCCCCCCTGGGGGGTGATTTCTCACTTTCTGTCTCTCTGTCTCTTTCTGTCTGGTGAGTGCACGCGCCCTATAGCAAAAAAAAACTCTCAAAAAAAAAAAGTTTAGCGATCTTGAAAAAATAAGAGTCATAGAATTTCAGGGATGCTTGAAGTAACATTTTAATGACACTGTGTTAATAAGACATACATGCTTCTGTACTATCCATTCTTGAACTACTTATATAATTTTATAAAGTTAATTATTTATAGAGACGGACCTATAGCTAGTGGTTAAGGGAGCCAGATTCCACCTGACCAGCTGCTGTTTGAGTCATGGTCAAAAAGCATGCTGACTGCATGTGCCCATGGGACCCAAATCTAGATAGGCTGGAGAAATGGGGGAGAAGGGATTGCGGCGGCATGACCACGGCCCTGCAGAGGGTGCTTTCTCCCGCTCCTTCCCTTCTCTCCGATTCTCTCTGGTGAGCACACACACCCTGGCAATTAAAACAAATGTTATCTTATGGTAGCGTGTAATTCATGTATTGAAGTTCGATATTCCTTAATTTTACGTTAGGGGTATTATGTAAAGAAAATCTTTAAATCCTTAGAAAAATATAACTTCATTATCATCTGCAGGATTTTTTCCAGACAGTCTGTTTAAAACTCCTTTGGTATTCTCTAGATACTTTTGGGATGTCGTGCTTGGATTCCCTCTCGATCTTCAAAAGAAGTTGCTGCATTTCACGACAGGAAGTGACAGAGTACCTGTAGGAGGGATGGCTGATTTGAACTTTAAAATCTCAAAGAATGAAACTTCAACTAATTGGTAAATTTCTGGATTGTAATTTTATTTTATTCTATGTGTTTATTCCCAGTAATAATAATATGTTTGAATTCAGGGGATTCATTCCATCTAAAGTCAGGCTCATGGCAGTGTTAATGAGTTAATATCGACCACTTACTCTTTTCCCCAAATACCTTGTCATTTCTAAAGCTAATTTGAGAGGCACGAGCGTGCTTTGGTCCTGTCCATTCTTCCTGTCATTAGAGAGCCAGAACCGGTCCATTGCCTTCCCACTGCTGCTACCCTGGCACAGTCACCCTCCCCTCACCCGTGGCTTGTTTAAACAGCCTCCATGGTGGACCGCCCGCTTGAGTTCTTCCTTTTCTGATCTGATCCTGTTAAATCCATTTCCTCAACACCGCTTTGGGCATATTCCCTCGTGGCTCAGCTTTCTTGCCCTCCACAGTTTAAATTCTGTAGTCCGGACCCTGTCAGATAAAGCTGCCTACCATCTTCACCCACGGTTAGCCTGTCAGCTTGCATTTCTTCTCTTTCTTTAATCCTCAGTCACATTTGTTGTGAAAATGTTGTCCCCGTTACATGTGGCACGTGCTTGCTACCTTTCTTTTCTTTTCTTTTTCTTTCCTTTACATTCACTCACTATACAGCAATACAGTATACAAAATGGGATCTTCCATCCAGAATACACTGTATATTGGCTCAGTCAAGGATATTACCAGACATGTTATCATCAACAAATCATTTCCCATTTCTTGTTTTTTAAATTTTTTTATTTTTAGGTAATTAATTTACATTTGTTCACTGAAAATCATCACAGCATACAAAATGTGATTTCCCATCCAGAATATACTGCATAATGGCTTAATCATACATGTTATCATCAATAATTTTTCATTTCTAGTTATATACATACATATTTATATATACATACATACATATATACACTAAAAGGTAACATCTAGCTGATGCTATATAGCTTGATACTGTCATTAAAAAGATATTTTTAATACATTTTTTAATTTCAAGAAAAGCAGTTTTAGCTTTAATAAATCATAATCAAAGAAATGCTAAGAGAGTTTTTCTTAAAACTTAAAGCCAGGAAACAGGTTAGCATTCTGTTCAAATAGTAGGTACGTGAACCTATCGGTAGCTCAAGACAAGACAAAAATTCTTAAATCTGGAAAACAAAGCATAGATGAAAATCAGCAATGTTTTAGTCAAAAAGTCATAAGATTCTATTTCACTAGTTCAGCCTCATGTACTTAATCTACCTCCTGTTGTGTTCTTAAAGACCCAGTTAACATCAGCTTCCCTATAAAGCCAAAAGTCAGCCTGCCACCCTCAGCTCCTCAGATGCCTTACAGAAGCCATGCACTACTCACAACTTAGTCCTTCCGTCCTCCACGCGGAGGTGCGTTGTGCCTTGTACCTCCGTGTGACCACACACAGTGCTGCCAACAACTCTTTCTTGAATGAATATTTAAGTTAACATGAATATAACATTTAGAACATAAAACAAATAGTTATGTGTATGCATTATAAAACTAAGACATTGCTTTTTTGCTATAGGGCGCGTGTGCTCGCCAGGCAGACAGAGACAGAAAGACAGAAAGCGAAAAATCACCCCCCAGAGGGGATGGCCACGCCACAATCCCTTCTCCATTCTCCTCTCGGGATCTTGGGCACGCACGCACACGCGCCCATCGTGAGTTTAAGCCGCTGGGTCCAGGACCCGAATCACGGTCGATTACATGGGAGTCCAGCGACATAGCCATTACGCTAACTGCTGGTCCCAAAACTAAGACATTGCTTAACAAGATTTACAATTAAAGACCTAAAATGAAAAAAAAAAAAAATCAAGGAAATCCTTTTGAGATTACATATTTATTTGTGTAACAGAAATTATTTTCTTAGAACTTATTATATTAAAAATTCTGTCATTTTAAAAATGGAAATCAGAATAATCTATTTTATAGCAATAATGGTATTGCATCTAAACTCTTTCAATTGTTATTTCAAGGATTATTCTGTGAGGTCACATGGCTTAGTCATGAATATAGAACAACTCTGAGGTTCCCAGTGAGATTTTTCACATATATTAAATATAGCCAACCAGCAGAGGACACTGTCATTTCAAACTGACACAGTAAGGTGTGCCTCAAAAGACAAGGACAACATTCCAGCTGAAAAGGTTGTCTCCACTCCTCTCAGGCCCACCATCGAAGATCCACTCGATTGTTAAATAATAAGATTAAATGTGACCAGCAGATAACATAATGGTTACATCACTGGACTCCAACATAGTGGACTGTGATTCAAATCCCACACCCGGCAGCTTAAAACTCATACTGGGCACATGTACGTGCGTGCCTGAAATCCCGAGAGGAGAATGGAGTTCGAGAAGCGATAGCCGCATGGCCATCCCTATGAGTGGGGGAGGGGGTTCTGTCTCTCTGGCAAGCATATGCACCCTATAGCAAAATTCTCTTTTAAAAAAAAAAGGAAAAGAAAGTTAAATGTTTACGTTATAACAAAATCAGAGTCTTTTTAAAGATTATTTACTTATTTAATGAGAGAGAGGCCCCTTCAACAGGATCTCCCAGGCACACATGCATGCCTGCCCTGTGCACATTGACCTGGGAACTGAACCCAATCCTGCATATGGCTTCCAGCATTTCCGACGTTGCACTTTTGCTGCGCCACCACAGCCGGGCCGACAGTACTGGTTTTGAAGTCATAGTAATCTGAGTTTGAGTATCAGTGTGTATCTTTACTAATTTGCCTCGAACAGATTACTGAACCTGTATATACCCAGGTCTCTTTTCTCTCACCAGAAAAATGAGAATAATAACTTTTTAGGTTGTTTTTAGCCTTAAATGAAACAAGTATAAAACACTTAGTTATTAGCACAGTGCTTCTCACAGACCAGGCACTCAGTAAATGCTAACAGATAATGTTAAGTCTTTTAAGACAGGGGGCTCTTAAACCTTAGTTTCTAGTTGTTTTAGTCCACTGTTAAGTTGCTGACAAAAGTACATTAGCTGAAGCTGCTTCAGCTCACAGTTGGGAGGGCCAAGGTCCAGGAGCCACATTTGTTGGGGGTCTTTCAGGATCCTGACCACATCAGAAAGGGGAGAGCCAAGTCCCTGAGACTCTGGTCTTCCCTTTCCTTATAAGCCTGCCGGAACTCAGTCATGTGGACCCCAGCCTTACCACTTCATCACTCCAAATGGCCCCACCTTTTGACACCATGAAGGTGTCCAACACCTTTTACAACCTAATCTCAGCACATGCGCTGGGGGGCACACAGATCAGAGCACTGATGATACGAACTTCTTCTAAAACGTCCTCCTTTTCTCTAGTATGGTCCCCGTTTTCACTGATAGCTTTTCTTACAGGGATTCCGATGCAGTGAAGTTGATCAAGACTGAAGGGAAAGGTCAGAGATAGCTGGAGAAATTCTGAGTCAGGATCCAGGCATTGGGGGAGCTAATGAGAAGGATTCAGAGGGTGGGGGCTCCATATGGTGGGGAGCTCCCTAAAAGTGTGGGCATCTAATGTCCCGCAAATGCTCCATTTTCACTGTTACAACTGGAATGTAGTAATGTTATATTATCTCCTGCTCTACTAGGTACTCTGTATGGGACCTTTTCTAATCTTGTAATTAGATGCTTTACCTAATCTTGTTGATGGGGAAACAGATTTGGAGATATTAAGCAATTTGGACGAGGTCTCACAGCTAGTAATTGGAGGAAGCAGTATTTGAATTTAGATGTTTCTGTCTCTAAAATGCTTCTCAAAGTTTCATGAGAGTGGGGACATGGTCTTGTCTGGAAACAACTCTGGCATCTGGGAGCCTGATACGCAGTGAGTCCTTAGTAAATCTCTATCCATGGAAGCAGTGAATAAATGAGTATCCCTTAGTAGAGGGAGACTGATTCGAATGTGTGGATCCTGGTATTTTCTAAAGTTGCTTAGCAATCACTTTGTGTACATTTGAAGACTTAATAACTTTTTTTTTTTTTAATTTTCCCTAGGTTACCTGTGGCCCATACCTGTTTCAATCAACTTTGCCTTCCCCCTTACAAGAGCAAAAAGGACCTGAAACAGAAATTGATCATTGGAATTTCAAATGCAGAAGGTTTTGGACTCGAGTAACCTAGAAGACTTGAAATCTAATATTCTATATGTAGCATTCACTTCCCTCTTATTGTGCCTTTAACCTTTTCATGTTTCTGTCTCAAAACACTATCAGAAAGTTCACCAACTCTAAAATACCCAGTTTTGGTTTTTTGTTTTGTTTTGTTTTGTTTTTTAAATCAGATACTAAGAAGACTTAGTGAAGGCATGATTTTCTAAAAAACACAAATTGCTAGAATGAGGAAAAGTCCACATGACAAACACAGGTGTGGGTCTGTTCCCTCTTTTTACAGCACTTTATCATTCTCCATAAGAAGTTTGTCCCAGGCGGTCCACTGGGAAAGCAGAGTGCAGTGAAGGATGCACTGATAGCATCGTTGAACCCAGTGGCCGATGGTGTGCGCACGGTAGCAGAGCCACCCGCTACCCTCCCTTTAACAGAGAGCATGCAGCCATACTTTCATACCGAGGTAAACAACAGTATAATCGCAAATGCCGTTTACAGGGTTTTTTGATATACTGGCTCTGGTTCTATAAGATTCTTTTCAACTGTTGCTGAAAAGCCTGTAAATAACTATATAACAGCCTGAGAATAATTGGATTTTGATAGTGCCATTTATTGCTAAAGATTTATTTTTACAAAGTAAATTCAGGGTTTTAGATGTGTGTACAGCTTTTACAAATCAATAAAGATGATTGTACAAGAGTATTTTCAGACTAATTGGATTCAAGGTTCTATTCTTTTAAATATTATTGTTAGTCTGCATGCACATTGACAGTAAACTAGCTATTTGAGTACTCTGTAATATTCATGTAATGATTTTCTTCTTAAGGATCAAAGTATTAGAAAAGAAATCAGAACTAATCATTGATGAAGTAAGTCAATTAAAAGCACAAAAGAACTTCTTTTATATATATTTTTGATTGATGTAGAAGACATGTCTACATTTTTTTGATCGCCAATTGTACTGAAACACTAATTTTTGGAACAGGTAGGGTAAAGTATTTGACAAAAGTGGGTATAATCGTAACATTTGTGTCAAAATGATGTAACTTGGTGTAAAAATAAAGTTCAGCATTTTGGCCAAAATGTTTGTTTCTCACTGGATTCTGCATTTAATCATTTAAGCTGCCCCCCCCCTTTTTTGGTTTCTGTTAGCATAGCATGTAAAAAAGCAACTGCATTTTAAGTCAGACAGTAAATTTCTTTTTATTTACAATACATGAAGCAGTTTTATTAGCATGTTACAAATATTTCAACAGCTTTCCTTCAGAACACTCTGAAGTTGTATTTGCAATAATAATGAAACCAGCACTTAGTACCAGCATATGGTTCATATGCAAATAATACTTTCCCGATTTTTTCTGAGTTAGGCTATTTTCTTGTTGCTTATGCTTCCTGCACCCAACCAGCAGAATTCTCCACGGGTGGAGGAGCCAGTCCGCTGTTCCCCTACAACTCCCAAGCCGACCCACGTATCTTTGAGGAAGAGGAGTTGCTCCATTTATTCTTCTCTGAGACAGAAGTGACTGCTTATCCATTTGGGGATATTATTTAAAGGGTATTTCTTCTTCAAAATTGCGAGAAGCCTAAGCAAGGTGAAAGACATATTGGTTTGGTTTGGGTTGGTTCGGTTTGGTTTGGTTTGGCTTGGCTTGGTTTGGTTTGGTTTGGTTGGGCTTGGTTTGGTTTGGTTTTGCTCTGCTATTTTTAATACGTATGCAAATAAAACTGCTTCTCTCTTACGCTGCTTGAACTAGAAAGTAAGATGTTTAATGTAGGTTACTACTAACTAATAAGCACAAAAGAATCATGTATAAGAAACCAGATGTAAGTGTTTTAAATAATACGTACACAAAGTTTTTATTTGGTAGAGATGACTCATGGAAATTGTGCTGGCTTGGTCTGCATGTTTAGTGATGTGCTCGTATGTCGATAGCTATGTCACTTTTAAGCAAGAAGTACACAAGCAAGCCAGATTTTCAAATGACAAAGTCCATCAATAACTGGAAGATTTTTGTGTCTGTTGTTTTTAAATTAAAATTTATAACCGTTTGTCACTGACTTGCACTTTGCCTTTATTTATTTATGCTCTGTTTGTGGTTTACAGTGTAATAATACCTCATTTAAAAAATAAAAACCACTACTGTTACATTTGTTAATAAAACAGTTAGAAAATTCATGTAGTTAATTTTTTATATATAATCTGTTAATGACTTCTTGATTTTTGTATCTGCCACAGTAAATTAAAGCATTGCACAGTATTTATCAGTATTTATAAAATGTCCTGTCCTTTTTAATCTTTGTTTAATCATATTTTTTGTCTATGTGATCAAAAGTTTCTAAGAGGTCCTTTTTTTTGTACAGACCTGTATTGTATTAATTTCTGGATGATATTTTAAATATTAAAATTATACAGTCAGTCAGGCTTCAGTTCGTTTTTTTGAACACTAGGTGATTAATTCAAACCACAGGTTTGAAACGTCTTCTAAATCCAGACTATTCTTTGCATTACAGTCTCTTAAACTGGTACTTAGGAAAATTGCTAACATATAGCTTCAAAAGGTGTGTGGTGTTGACACTATGTGTAACCAACCTATTAGCACATTTTAAGTCTGAGACAGTGTGTAGCCAATACATGGATGACCACACAGATACTCCACCACGAAGAGTGTGTCACGCCAGTAGGGTACACCCGGGAACGAGCTAACATGGCATGTCGTGGGCCTAGATGATTGACGATTTCAGCTCTTAGGTATTCCTCCCTGAAACCATTCATTTGGCCTTGTTTCCCCCTTGCCCACATTTTCTGTGCTTAGGAAAGGGAGAAAGGAGGATATGCCACAGTAGGGGAGAATGGGATAGGTGATTGTGAGAGAAGGTACCCACCTGGCTGGCAGAAGGACCAGGGTGGGTTTGCACAGGGGAAGGTACAGGGCTGCTCCACCCAGGCAGCGACGGTCCTTTGGTCAGGTGTGGGCTTTGGAGCCAGACTGCCTGGATTTACCCTTGACTAGCCGTGTTTCCTTGGGCACGCCAACTTACCCATTCCTTCACTTTAAAATGGAAACAATTTGTAATGTGGAAATAAAAAACCTACCTACCTACCTCACAGGGTTGCGGGGAGGATTAAGGGAGTTACTGTGTAATGCACACACAGCCTGGCATGTGATAAACCACATAGGGCGATGCACCACAGAACGTGGTGCTAATGGGACACCAGCTTCTCGCCTGCGTCTGAAGCCTAGCACTGCTTTGGACTCCGGTTTCAACCACAGATTACAAAGTGTTTTTGAAACATTGAGTCTTTGTTAGGAGAATCTTAGTCTATAAACAATGCTTTAGGATTTATCCTTAGAGATTTCCTACTAGACTTTTATAGATTTTCAGCAAGATATAATCCTAAAATTCAAAAATAAATGAGCCGTGTACTTTTAATAAACTATTTCAAGTATGGAGAAGAATTTCATAGATTACTATACCGAAATACCATTTTCTCCACACTGAGATTAACCAATCTTGCCAGGTTAAAAAAAAAAAAAATCGCAGGTGAAATCGAAGTTCTTCACGTGTCGTGTGCCTGTCTCCAGTCCCTCTTCGTTCCCCCCTTAACCTGTAGTTTGCATGAATCCTTGCCACACTGTCTTTATGAAAGTATTACACAGGTATCTATCAATAGTTGCATACATAATATACATACCTCTTCCACAACTTTTTTCACCCAATATTGTCTCCTCTAAATTTTCTCTTAGTGATACATCTAGATAATAATTCATCCGTTTTTAATGCAGAAGAGAATCTTATTCAATAAATATGTGTAAGTAAGTTAACAGTTTGCTAATCTATCCCCTACACGCTAACCAGACTCGTGAGCACCGTGCCTTGTGGAGCCTGCAGGTACATGTCTCCTGCAGTGGGCCCCCGTGTAGAATTGCCGAATCCCAGGGTGCAGGCCACCTGCTCTCCAGAGCGCTGACCGCAGCATCAGTTTCTGCCCGCACTCTCCACGTCGTTTCTCCACACTCCTCCCAGCACCTGGTTTTAGCAGAGCTTTTTTTAATCTGACCAGTGTGCTCTCATTCGCATTTCCCTAATTGTTAGTGACATTGCACACCTTTTTGTATGTTTACAGGCCATTGAGTTTTCTGTAAATAGCCAGGTTAATATTCTTTGCCTAACTTTTTAGTTTTTTTTTCTTATTGGTTTTTAGGAGTTATTTCTTCTGGATATTGATCCTTTGTTAAAAGGAGCTCCATCCCTTTGATTTGAATCACAGATCTGCCAATGACTAGTACCTTTGGACAAATTACTTCACATTTCTTATGTGTATAACATGTACACACATACATGTGCATTTTCATATCTGTATGTAATGAACAGTTGCTTTGCTAATGATGTGGATACCTTTTGAGAAGTATGTCATTAACAATTTGGCACTGTGCTGACATCAAGAATGTACTTACAGGGACCAGCAGTTAGCGTAATGGCTATGTCGCTGGACTCCCATGTAGTCGACCGCAGTTCGCGTCCCAGACCCAGTGGCTTAAACTCACGCCGGGCGCATGTGCATGTGTGCCCAAGATCCCGAGAGGAAAATGGAGAAGGGATTGTGGCATGACCATCCCCCCTGGGGGGTGATTTCTTGCTTTCTCTCTTTCTCTCTCTCTCTGTCTTTCTGGCAAGCCAGTGGGCCCCCGTGTAGAATTGCCGAATCCCAGGGTGCAGGCCACCTGCTCTCCAGAGCGCTGACCGCAGCATCAGTTTCTGCCCGCACTCTCCACGTCGTTTCTCCACACTCCTCCCAGCACCTGGTTTTAGCAGAGCTTTTTTTAATCTGACCAGTGTGCTCTCATTCGCATTTCCCTAATTGTTAGTGACATTGCACACCTTTTTGTATGTTTACAGGCCATTGAGTTTTCTGTAAATAGCCAGGTTAATATTCTTTGCCTAACTTTTTAGTTTTTTTTTCTTATTGGTTTTTAGGAGTTATTTCTTCTGGATATTGATCCTTTGTTAAAAGGAGCTCCATCCCTTTGATTTGAATCACAGATCTGCCAATGACTAGTACCTTTGGACAAATTACTTCACATTTCTTATGTGTATAACATGTACACACATACATGTGCATTTTCATATCTGTATGTAATGAACAGTTGCTTTGCTAATGATGTGGATACCTTTTGAGAAGTATGTCATTAACAATTTGGCACTGTGCTGACATCAAGAATGTACTTACAGGGACCAGCAGTTAGCGTAATGGCTATGTCGCTGGACTCCCATGTAGTCGACCGCAGTTCGCGTCCCAGACCCAGTGGCTTAAACTCACGCCGGGCGCATGTGCATGTGTGCCCAAGATCCCGAGAGGAAAATGGAGAAGGGATTGTGGCATGACCATCCCCCCTGGGGGGTGATTTCTTGCTTTCTCTCTTTCTCTCTCTCTCTGTCTTTCTGGCAAGCGCACGCACCCTATAGCGATAAACCTCTCCAAGAAAAAAAAAAAGTACTTATACAAAGCTGGATGGTGTAGCTACTACACACCTAAGCTGTGTGGTGTAGCCTGTATGTTTCTTATGGGACACCGCCATACATGTGGTCTGTGCTGGCCAGGACTTCACTGTGTGGCATATGACCATATACATAAGTTTGATAAGTACGTATCAGATCTATACACGTTTTACAAATAAAATACATAAACGTATACATACACACAGCTTACATTATGCCAACCCATAAGTCTTCCATAAGAATTTGGTATTATTACTATGCTATTATTACTGCTCATGTGTTGCAAATATGATCTGGTATCTAGCCTGATTTTTTAACTTTATCTTATATACATTTTAAAAATGTTTAATGTCATTCATTAAATCAAACATTGTTATTTCATATAGATCAGCGGTCCCTAACTTTCCAGCACCAGGAAGTGGCCTCACAGAAGACACTCCCTCAGCAGGTAGAGGGGCGAGGAGTATTGTCCTGGTGTGATCCACGTGCACCACATCCGTGTGCACCCTGTTTACACCACTGTCACGCTGCAGTGTACAATGAAACAGTCACTCAGTAGGGTTCACACTCCCATGAGAATCCACAATCACCGCTGAGCTGACAGGAAGCAGAGCCCAGGCTGCAATGCCAGCTATGGGGAGCAGCTGCAAACACAGAGGTGACCTCGCCCGCTCGCCCGCCACCCACCCTGTGAGTGCAGCCCAGCCACCAGCACTGGTCTGCAGCCTGAGGTTGAGACCCCTGATGATGTGATAGAAAAATAGACAACCGTATAGTTACAGTCGCTTTGCACATCTTTTCCTCTCTGGCTGGCCCTCCACCTGCCTCTGAGGTCAATTTTCTTCCTCCCAAGGTATAGCTAGAAGCTCTTTCAATGAGGATTTTTTGGTCATCAGTTCTTTTTATCAGATATTTGAAAATGACACTGTCATCTTTAGTCATGAAAGATTCATTAAGCATGTCAAGGTTGGTGATTATTTTCTTTTAGCATTTTGAATACATCAGTACATTGTCTTTGATCTCACCTTTGACATAAAGTTAGCTGTCAACCTGTTTTCCCCCTCTGGCTACTTCTAAGGTATCTCTTTTCTGGAGAAACAGTAGAACATCGAAACCAAAGTGTCTGTTTTTCATCCCATTTGGGATTCATTACGATTATTAAATCAGTGTATTTGTATCTTTTATTCTTCGGCCATTTCCCCCCTAAAAATTACTTTTCCCTGTTCTCTCTAATCTGTTAAAAAATTTTTTGACCATCTCATTCAACCATTTCATCTCTCTGCCTACTCTGTTATTTAACCAACCGAGCCCAAATAGGCCTTTCAATCGTGCTTCACTTAGTCACCAGAGACAGGTGGCTCCCAGGAGGATGTGTCACTGGGCAAGGCGGCTTAGGCTCCACAGCTGAAGGTGACCCTGATGGGGCTGCCAGCCAGACTGTCCGCTGACGGTGCTTCCTGCAGCTGGGCCGCACGCCCTGTCTGGAAGGTGGCCTGGAGGCCTTCCAGCATGGCCACCATACACGGCCACGCCCAGCTGTTCAGGAGTCTGGCAAGTGTGGCCCAGCTGTGTGCCAAAGGAGGGGA